TTCTCGAAATTGTGTTCTTATTTTCATCTCCCTTTCTTAATTTTCAGTATTTCCATCCATCTACATTCTCTTATCAGTTTTTCTCCTGTTTCCATGACATTTGAGCTATCTCACTTCCTACATTCTTTTCATAAAGGCTATTTTAATTACATGACAAAATTTATAGGTTTTTCTCTCAACCGTAATTAAAAAATGTCATAACTTTCTCCCAATATTCTGGTAGACTTCTTTACTATTCAGTTGTTAAGGGAATATTCCTTGAATCAAAATAAGAAAAAAGTACATAGACTGATGAGATAGATAGATGAGATTTGGAACCATATGTAGTTTTTTGTAATTATGTAATTTATGTTTATTTGTTATTATTAGGTTTACTTAAATTTTCCTATTCGCCTTCCTTTAGACCATGGCGGATCTGTTTTGAGGTGGATGTAAGAGGGGACAAGAATATTTTTTCTAAATTACCTTCAGTACAACTCACATAATAAAAGTGTAGATCCCTAGATCTGGACGAGGTCCGGAACATTTTCAAAATTGCAAAAATGTTTAAAAAATTTTAAAAATACCTATTTTATCTGAGTTTTTTACTTATATCTTGGAACCTATGCATTTTGGAAGAATATTGAAGAGAAAAAAGTTTTAGAATTGAATTTTGCACAATATACTGTAAGTTAAATATGTTTAAATTTATTACCGATGTTGCAAAATAGCAATAATTGATGAAAAAAAGGCAAAATAATCAAGTTTATTGATAATTATTTTAAAATATTTTAATTGCTTCGAGGGCATTCTAATTTCACCAAATTTCATTAAAATCGGTTCGATAGTTTTCGCAAAATAATTTTTTGAAAAATATTTTTCGAATTTTCAAAATATTGCACAGCCTCAAATAAAGCATCTAGATACTTGAAAATTTTTTCACATAGAAAAGACCGCTCAACCTTTCAAATGGTTTTTGAAAAATTGAAATCGGTTGATCAGGACGGCCACAGTAAATTTTTAAAGTTAACACTCTTTTTTTATTTTTAAACATTTATCAGTTTGCAATTTAGTTGGAATTAAAATTATAATTTTAAGGTACTATTTTTTCTTAATTTTATCTGTATTTAACTAAAAAACTAAAACTACATACATTCATATTCAGAGTGTTGAAATATATACGTAAACAAATTTTTTCATTGAAAGAATGCAATAGCATAGAATAGAATATACAGTATATTCAATGTGTTTGGTTTTGTGGTAAATAAATTGACCTTAAAGTAGACTGTACATTTGTTGACAAATGTTACAATATGACATGTATGAGAAGCCTACTTTTTTCTACGTTACTACAAACAACTAGACTTAAGCTAAGGAAACTAAGGAGCGTGCTGCGTCCACAATGCATAAATAATAAACTTTGTTTATAACAAAATGGCTCCTCCTTGGCTCTCAAGATGTAGGATTAAAAAAGAAAGATCGAAATTGGTCTATTAGAATCCGAGATAATGCAATTTTTTTCGTACCTTAGCATTTTGAACCTCCGAATTCAGTCTCGGAGCGAAAGTTCCCTCCCCCACTTTTCGTGTTTTGAGTCACTTTTCGCGCGTGCGACCGACAGCTTTTCCGCTGATTTATGTATGTTGCCGATAACTTAGAGATATGAAAATTTTTTCCAGCTTAGAACTCGGACAAACGAAGCCACTGTATCAAATATTATTATTGCTAAATTGTTTATAAATTAACGGTAAATACCGATAAACTTTGATCGCTTATATCTCGAGAACCAATAATTTGTTTTTAAAAGAAGCTTCTTTCTGAGTACTTTAAAATTATAATTTTTTAAAGAAACTAAGTTGCAAATTGATAAATATAATGTAATTGTTTAAAAATAAAAAAAAGAGTGTTAACTTTAAAAATTTACTGTGGCCGTCCCAATCAACCGATTTCAATATTTCAAAAACCATTTGAAAGGTTGAGCGGTCTTTTCTATATGAAAAAATTTTCAAGTATCTAGATGCTTTATTTGAGGCTGTGCAATATTTTGAAAATTCGAAAAAAAATTTCAAAATTTAAAAAAAAAATTATTTTGCGAAAACTATCGAACCGATTTTAATGAAATTTGGTGTGTTGTTTTATTATATTATATAATACCCTCGGAGCAATTAAAATATTTTAAAAAATTATCAAAAAAAACTTGCCTTTTTTTCATCAATTATTGCTATTTTACTAACATTGGTAGTAAATTTAAACATTTTTAACTTAACAGTATAGTGTGCAAAATTGAATTCTAAAACTTTTTTCTCTTCAATATTCTTCTTCCAAAATGCATAGGTTCCAAGATATTAGTAAAAAACTCAGATAAAACAGGTATTTTTTAAAATTTTTTAAACATTTTTGCAATTTTGAAAATGTTCCTCGCACAGATCTAGGGATCTACACTTTTATTATGTGACTTGTACTGAAGGTATTCCAGCAAAAATTAGCTTGCCCCCTCTTATATCCAAGAAGTGGGATATTTCGACAAATCTGCCCTGTCTATTTCGAGATACTAAAAAATATGACTATATTGTTAGAATCCTAAATCCCTGGGTATGTGCTACTTTACTTATTTTTATGTGAGGAATATGTCCCCGAAATTTGTCAACATGATCCTGAAACAACCTGTATATATAACTTCTTTCTAACATAGAAGTTATTGTTACTTAAAATAAACTTTAGATTACAAGATCTTGATCTCTTTAGTTGTGCCTAACTTGAGCCTTTATAGATTATTGATACAAAATCCTTCTCAAGATAATGTCACAAGATATATCAGATGTTCTAATATTGAACTGACCACAATATCGATAAATTCGGAAATAAGGCGATTTGGAAAAAGATCTCTAAGATCCTCATTGTTTCACGAGATTTGTGTGTCGAAAGCCCTAACCATGTCGAACTTAAATTTCGCCAATATTTTCCTCTTTGGGATTTTTTCTGATCTTCTTAGGTACATTAAGATTTGAGGAGATATGTGACCTGCCAGGTAACCAATTTTTCAGCAATCGATTGACTTTAGATGTGTAAGCATGTTTTGTATTTATTTATATAAAATAAAAAAATTGGATTATATTTATTACATATTTCTTGATATTTTCAAATTCGTTAGCTAATGATTCTGGAAGTATTATCAAAATTAGACTTTTTTAAATTTTTGATAATTAAGGCATTTTAGCTCAATGAAACTTTTGTTCCTTCAAATAGAACAATTTAATTAGTGACAAAAATAAACCGAAAATTAAACTTAAAATTTATTCTATATCCCAGCTATTCCATACACATCATTAAATTTTATGGTTTCGAAATCTGAACGGGAAAACATCATGCAAAACATGATTACTTCTAAATATAAACAGTATTTTACCCTAAAAAAGAAAACAAACAGCACATAAATATGTAAATTTGAATGTCATCATTTCAAAGTTTAAAGAAAAAATGAAAAAAATACATTTACAAGAGTTAATTATGTTCTGCATGAAAGTTGTAATCTAACTTCTGAATAAAGAGAAGCAACTCTCATAACAATTGTTAATTAACCAAACAGTACCAAGTCCATTTAACATAAACATTAATGTATTACAGCATCAGAACAAAACTTGCTGAAAATATACATATACTCGTAGGCTTAGTGCGACGCGGAGTTTAACAGGACCGTAGTCAGATTATGAATGAGAATATTTATATGTTTACAGAAAATATGTCGTAAAAAAAGAGCTATTACCAAAGAGCAAGGCTAAATAGAGGATAAAATACATATATAAAAATTACACCGATAAACTTTAGTGTTGAGACAAGGCTTCCGTGGCATATTAGAAGGAGTTAAAATATATTACTACGTGCTTTTCTAAATTTTCTTTAGGAAACGGTGACGTTTATCACGTAATATTAACTTGTGTAGGGAAAATGATCGTTCAACGTCTACTATTGACAACGGACAGTATGAGAAATTGTTGAGGCATGAACTATATATTAATATATTTGCTGGTAACTCCTGATATGTACCAGATGAAACTTTACATGTGTTTTCCAAACTAGTGTACCCTGGATTTTTTTCCAACACTCTTTGCATTTTTTCTTTTATCATACTACTAACTGGGCGTATATTATTGGCATCGAATATATTTTTTTGTACATCTTCCATTATATCAAATTGTTCATTTAGGGATAGTCCATGTGATTCCAATTGATGGAATTACGGAACTTGGGGTTTTCTAGTTTGTTTAATGGAATATTGCTTGAAAGAAAGGCGTCTGTAAGTTCATAGAAAAATACAGTCTTCAACGCTGGACGAGGCATGGCTCTTCAAATGCCTTGGCACTTTAGTTTTGTAACAAGAATTTTTATAATGCGTTCACATACAGTACAAAACAGTTTATTTCCTTTAATACTATGTCCCTGTAACCTTCGGGATCACTGTCAAACCACATATGAAATAATTCCTGTCTATTTATTTTCTCTTTTATCATTTTACTTCACTTTCCCCCTTAACTAATAGTTGTTAATGACTATTTGTATATAAAGTTATTTAAATACACACAGCGAATACAATTTACTGCAGATTTAAAAAGAAAGGTATCGACGCGACTCCAACTATTACAAAGTTCCGTAAATAACTGAACAGTTCAAAACGCGAGTCAGCTGTGAAGGTCACCGACCCCCACGCCGTCTCTGTTAGACTCTTCACGTGCACTAAGCCTACATATAAATACAAATATTTTTTTGGAAATATTTATACTTGTTTCATTTTTGTTCCAAAGATAAATATGCTCTAACATTTTTAATAAAAAATAGCTTAACAATCTACTAATAATAATAACAACAAATTAATATACTATATAATATGTTAATATAGATGAATTTATGATATTGGTACGTTATAAATAAAATAAACTTCATTTGGAATATGAGTATCATTTCCAATAGAAGCAAAGAAAAAAATAAGAAATTCAAATTTTCTCAAAATTATTTATTTGTTTAAGGTAAATTCAAGGTCGATGAAGTTACTCAAGAGGAAAGAGAGGACTGTTACTTATCAACCCTGCATATAAAAGATGCCTCTTCTATGGATTCAAGAGCTTATTATCTCGCAGTAGAAAACGACAGGGGGACAGACAGACATGCTGTACAGTTATATGTCAATGGTAAGTTTAAAATTTAGAGTAAAATTAATATCACTTGGTATAAATAAAATAACAATATAGGTGATAAACCATACATTACAAATCTTTTTTTACCTATGTACAAAGTATGAGAAGAGATTTTTTATTGATATTTAGTTTAGTATCGTTTAATTTTTGTTTAATATTCAAATTGAAAGCTGTTTGAACTTTACAGGTCTCACGCTTTTATAGAGGGGTTAATGAAGAGCATGAACGAGCGAAACACCCTAGATTCTTAATGTCAGACTATGACTATTTACACTAATTTACCTACATGCAAAAATGCACCATAAGGACGCTAGGGGACGAAATTTTTGAAAAAATGTCCATAATCAGTTATAAAATATTGGTAAACGGCTTTTCCTGATGATATTGATGTTAATTACTGACTTGCACAAATGGTTTAAACTATTCACATAATTTTTTTGTATTATTTGTCACAATTTTTTTTCTGGTGAAGGCTAAATAAAACTTTTTAAAATAAATTCTGTCAGAATTTTGAAAACTCATACCGTTTAGTAGAAAAAAAATTCAACAAACGTCCCGCTTGCCAAATAAATTTGCGCCTTATGCATTAGAAATACCCAAATTACGAGTACCAGTTATGGGATGTGACAATTTGTTAAAATAATTTTATAAAACATCATTAACAAAAATAAAAATAAATAAATGTCTACTAATGTGATGACAAGATGTAGGAAATTTTATACTTATAAAATAATATAGTATTAAATATTCAATATAACATTTTGAACAATATACATTATCAGTACATTATCATTTTTAATGGATCAAATCCAGTTACTATGCGCTTCCATAACTAATTCTCTGAAGTAGCTGGAGAAAGAAATCCAAAGGATTCAAATGTGGTGAACGTGGTGCCCCTTGGATTGCAGTATCATTTCCATTACCAATCCATCTGTTCAAACTGTTCATGAAGATGAACCCTAACATTTATTGTAAAATGAGGAACACCATCGTGCATGAACCAAGTTTCCCTTCTTATAAGTAGGGGTACATTCTCTAATTCAACGGTTAAATCTGTAATAAATTAAAAATACATTTCTGCGTATAAAGTATTGGAAATCTTACTGGGTCTATCGAAGTATTTCCAACTATTCCCGCCTATACATTAATTCTAAGATTTCGTTGAAAATGCCGCTTTACTACTACCTGAGTATTCTTCTGGCCGTACGTGCTCATTATGTAAAAGAAGCGGTAAATAATATTTAATTATATTATTTATAAAAATTATAATTATTTATAAAAATGTATATCTTCCTTTCTCCGTTCTTGAATTGTCTTACAAAAATTTAGTCGTAGATACAGGCTGCACATGAAATGAGTATGTCTGTTGAATCCTTTTGCGAACAAACGGTATGAGTTCTCAAATTTTTGGAAGCGATAAAATTTATTTAACAAAATTTAGCTTTCACCAGAACAGAAATTGTGACAATTACATAATACACAGAAAAAATATGAATATTTTTTAACAGAGGTGCCTGTCTTTTATCAATATATTTTCACATGCCAAATAGCATTTTAATCGTTCAACGCTTTTCCGTTTTATAACTGGTTATTGATATTTTTTCAAAAACTTTGACGCCCCCTTGTATCCCCATGTTTTCATATAGGTAAACTACTGTAAACCGTCGTTAAGAGTCTAGGGCAGCTCGCTGGTACAAGCTTTTCAGGGACCCCTTTTTAATATAATAATGTGCTTTTAGGTCCTTGTAATTCAGTCAAATAGTGGTAAGTTTACAATAATTCGCATAAAGCTAAATATTGGTATAGGTTTTTGGTACAATATTATAAATAAAATGTCCCCACCGATCCCACGCGTGCTAAAAAATGTATTGAAGGTCAAAGGTCTCAAATATCGGTTTTTTGCATTTTTCAAGTAAACGGTAAGTGTTATCATAAAAATAGATCTGACAAAAGTTGTAGATCACACAATTGTTTACAAAAATTGTCCCAATACTTTTTTCCTACGAATCCTAAGATATCACCATTTCAAACACCGAAAATACTACTCGTAATATGCACGCGTACGCCGCTTATGTACATCAACGGTAACAATACTGGCCTGTTTAACTAATACATACAAACGATTGTGAATGATTATACACTCAAAACACACATGCTACATACATAATCGATGGATGATATATATTACACTGCGTTGTATGGGATCGAGAAGAAACATTTAACGTTATTTTTGATAAATACGTTCAGTATGTACATGGACATTTTGGTCATAGAGTGACTATAGTGTTTGATGGTTATACTGATTATAAGAAAAACATTAAAGCTGCAGAACAACGTCGTCGAACTACAAAAACATCATTTTCTGATCATTTTTGATCAATTTATGATAGTTTCAATAAACCAACAACAAATTCTTGCAAATACTCACAACTCTCGCTTCATTTCAATGTTATGTGAAAAATTTACAACAAGCTCATAATGGCACTGATGTCCTTATAATTGAAACAGCAATAGAACAATTCAACGAAACGAATACTATCGCTGTTGGTGAAGATTTATTAATACTACTGACTGCACGAATTCCATTTGATAACATTGTTTATTTTTTAAATCTGGGAACACTCATGAACAATCAAAAATATATTCATCGAAGAGTTTACTGCTTATCCAAAATGTCACCATATCTTATGTTTATCTGCAATATTGCTGCGATATTACATCAGCAATGTTCAGAAGGGGTAAAATATCAGTATTTAAATTGATTGAAAAACGTAATAATTTAATTGACTGTTCAGAAGTATTTAAAAATATTGACTTTTCTCCAGAAGCCATCATCACAAACGGGATTCGCTTTATATGGAGCTCCAAACAAATTGATTGTACAGACAAGTATAGATATTTAAGTTTTATAAAAAAAACACACGGAACAATAAAATAGTACAACCATCTTGTCTTCCTCCAACATCTGATACTGCTTATCAATACTTATATCGAGTATACTATCAAGTTCAAGTGTGACTAACAACTGAACCCAGAAGACTGGGGTTGGAAATTAACAGATACCATTTTGGAGCCAATAATTCATGGATATCCACCAAGAGGAAGAAGATGAAGAAGAAAGTGAAGAAGACATTATTGTTGAAGTAGCATTTGAATATTACCAGTCAGATTAAAATTTTCTCGAAATCAACAATAATTCTTTATAGTTTAATCATAACCAATATTATAATTTTTTATTGAATAGAATATTATCTTATAAAACTGAATCACAATAGATGTGGAGTGTGCCTGCCGGGGAAACCATGTTAAAAAAAAACGCGCCGAGTATACTACCTCAGATAGTGCGGAAATTAGTGCATATCATATGTAGAATGCGACTTCTTCAATTTTTGAAATAGTGATATCTCTGGAATGGTGACTCGTAGGAAAAAAAGTATTGGGGCAATGATCTACAATGTTTGTCTGATCTATTTTTATGATAATAACGAGCGTTCAAATAAAAACGTGGTCAAGTTGGTTCTGAAAATTTGGACGTAGGGCGTAGCGTATAGCAATGAACTTAAATGTCATCTGTCAAAGCGCTATATCGCCGCTATCAATTTGAATATTTTCGTTTTAAAAAGCGTTTAAAATGGTGTTTTCTCAAGAACAAAAAGTGTTTATCATAGAGTCCTACTTTAGAAATGGACGCAAGATTGATGGAATATGGAAGTATTCTATTGAGGAATGTTTCATAGAATTTCAAAATCAATTTCCCGGCGTTGTTGAGTACACAATTTTTCAAAGTGCAGTTCAGCGTTGTGTTAATGTTTTTCGTGAAACAGGCAGTGTAGCAAGAAAAGAAGGAAGCGGCCGACCTAAAAAGCGGACTGAGGAATTAAAAGAAAATGTCCAACAAATAATGGAAAATGCGCCAAGAACTTCTGTACGTGTTTTATCACAAATGGTGGGAGTATCAGTCGGTACCTGCCACATAGTGTTAAAAAAGATTTGCGTTTGTTCTCCTATAGTTTAACTTGTCAGCAAGAACTTCATGAAGTTGATTTTCCGCGACGGGTTGTATTTTGTAAATGGTTTTTAAACAACTACGGTGAACTTCATAATATCACCTTTTTTTTCATTTAAGTGGTTACGTAAACTCACAGAACATGAGAATGTGGTCTTCTGAAAAACCAGATAACTTTTTTGTCGAGGGCCCTCTACACGCTCAAAAAATTGGAGTTTGGTGTGCTCTCAATCGAAGGATTTACCTTACCTTAAAAACACTATTTTTTAACTGCCTATTCCTGATTTAAACCATCTGCAGGCTCGACTTATAGACAAGATTCGTGAAATTAACAACAACATTAACGAGCATCTTAGAAAATGTCTTTAATTCTCTGAGGAACAGGTGTGAAAAGTGCTTGGAACAAGGAGGGGGACACTTTCAGCAGCTGCTTTAATTTATTGTCATAACAAGGAGGGGGACACTTTCCGCAGCTCCTTTAATTGTTTGTTATTGTTATCACGATTAAGTATAAAATAAAGTTATATAGTCATTAACGTTATTGAAACTGACAGCTGCTATACAGCTCGTTGAGAAATGAGGTTAAGTTGGTCGCTATAAGCTACTCCCTACGTCCAATGTGCCAGAGCCAGCTTCGACCACGTTTTTATTTGAACGCTCGTTACTTACCGTTTACGAGAAAAATGACAAAAACCGATATTTGCGACCTTTGACGTTAAATACATTTTTTAGCACGCATGGGATCGGTGGAGACTTTTGCCATTTTACTTATAATAGTGTACAAATGTCCTGTACCAATATTTAGCTCTATGCGAATTATTGTAAATTGAAATGTCCATTTCGACCAGTAAGAAAGTAAATTGAGAAAGAGATGTGCTACCCTGATTGATTCAAATATATGCATTAATAAATGAGATTTTTAATAACACTTTCATAGATAAAATGCTTGTAATGAATTCAGATTTAAATGGTAGCTGTAATAAAATGG